GGGATAGGAGCTGAGATCTGTTGTTTTCCTATGGTAGGAAGAGAAAGGGGGACTAGGAAACTTGCCACCAGTTCCTATGAATAGGGAGTGATGAGCTAAGCTATAGAGTGACCTAGGCAAGGTCATAACCTCTCTAAACTTTAGTTTCATAACAGCAGAACTGACAGGAAAGTCTATTGTATGATGACTATTTCATGCCTGGAGGATATAAAACATTAAGTAATATTTAATTAACTTAAAATATTAGTTGAATATTAATATATTTTATAATAAAAAAAACATAACTCTCGGGATAGATCAATGTCCTAATATTGAAAGCAGACTCTGAAAAAACATCAAGGGCATGTACAAAACTTGCCCCCATTTTCCATGAATCTTACATATCAATGTCATGTTTACACTATCAGTAAATGCATGTTCTATCAAAATCACCTTTTGAAATATCACCAGATAGAATGCTGGAAAGTAAAAAGTCTATACTTAAGCTATTTGCTCTCAAAAAAGTGGTTGAGAATTATTCATATTTCATCTACATTAAATGCATATACCTTGAATAATTCATGTTAGACATTTTGTAATACATATATGTATATGACAATATCCTAGCTACAATGCTTAATTTTTAAAATTTCACAGCGTGATTATATTCCCTTTCCTCCACTCCATCTTGTGTGATAGAAAAGCATTTCCCAACCCACACCAGTTTGACCCAGAGAACTTCTTGGACAAGTCTAGCAACTTTCAGAAGAATGACTACTTCATGCCTTTCTCTTTGGGTAAAAATAATGCATGCTTTTGTCCATTTTTCAGTTTCATTGACTACACCATAATAGAGGTATTGGTAATCAGACTCCAAAGGGGATTGATGTACTTGTTGGAACCACAGAAATATTCAGACAGACTGAATTCAACATGGGTTAGTGGAAAGCAGGCTACATTTAGGCTCAGGAGAAGATGGTTTGAATCTCAACTCTGATACTTCTAATGATGTAACTATGGCCAAATCGTTTAATCTCTCAGTCTCAGTTTCCTCAGATGTAATATAAGGATACTAATACCTACATGTTATAGGAAAAGTGCTTGGGAAACATTAGAGCACTACATAAAGTGAATGATAATAATAATAATAATTATTATACTTCTATATTAATATTATATAGATTAATATTTCTGATTGTATGTTATATGTAATTATATATTAATAATAATAATTATTATTAATTTATTCCATTCAATAAGAAAATTAGAAGGTATTGTTCAGCGATTAACAGTTGTATCAGTTTAAAGATAAGTACAGGAGCTTAATACTGGCTGATTAATTGTTAAGAATGCTAAATTTGGAATCAGAAAAAACTGGGATTTTAATCCTATTTCACATTCTTTTATATTATAACATATTTAATCCTACATATATTAATTATGTAGCCATGTGCAAGTCATTTAATCTATCTTAGCCTTAGTTTCCTAATAAAAAATGGGTATAATAATTCCTTTGGTAGCTTTACAAGGTTGTTGTGAGGATAACACTCAAATATTCTGGAACTATAATTCCTATATGAATGTCAGGTTTTAGTTTTTCAATAACCCAGCCATTCTCAACATCCATCCTCACAGAAGAGAGGCAATGAGAACCATAGTGAACAGAAGCCTGACCTTGGAGTCAGAAAGCCTTGGGATAAAGTTCTGCCTCAGAAATTTAGTCACTTTCCGTTTGTGTCTGTGGAGAAAGTCACTTAAGTTTTCAGGTCCCTAGGAAATTCTTTAAGACTCCCACTTATGGAGGATTTGCCTACCAGTATCTGTGAAGGGAATCAGGAAGTCACAGGTCCAGTCCTGCCCCCCTCCCTTGGTACATGACCTATGCTCTAGATCACAAAGGGATTTGCCCAGCTAGCTCCTATCTAGCTCCTTTTCCCTCAAATGCTTCTTTCTAACTATTGCTTATTCTAAGAACAAAATTCACCAGGTTTTCAATTATCTTGAAATTATTGCTTGTGAATGTGACTATTCTGATTATGACATTTGAAACCCATCTCAGGAGCACCTCAACCACCTGGATGAGCTTCTATTTCCTTCCCTACTTACCTGCCAATGGGACCACCAGATCTGCTAGGCCTCTCCAGTATGAGATGGTTCACTGCCATTTCCACTGGCCATCAGTGAGAAACTAACAAAATAACTCACACGTCTCTCCTGTCAGCTTCTCCTTGATCAACACGTTTAAGTCTCTCCTGAAGGTACAATTTAATTAAGTGGCTGTGATGAGGCAGACTCTGGTTCCTTTTAGGAAAACGCATCTGTCTTGGAGAGGGCCTGGCTTGGATGGAGGTGTTTCTGTTCCTAGTCACTATTCTGCAGAACTTCACCTTGAAGCCCTTGGTTGATCCAAAGGAACTTGACATCACCCCACTCATGACTGGAGTTCTCAGTGTCCCCCAGTTTACAAATTATCTCTCCTTCCTCGATAAATGATGCCCTGTGGCCGCAATTTCATTGCTTTGCTCCCACAAATTGACAGCACAGTCAATTTCTATTTTAAATGATAATCTTGGTGTTTCATGTTGGGAAGACACTTCTGCCCTCTTCGATTAAGAACAGTGTTTGGACAGCTCCTGCAAGAGAGACATGCAGGACCAAGGAATGATAGCGTCAGCACAGCCTAGTACTTGGCCACTCTGCCTTGGCATTCCCTTCCCAATGAAGGGAAATCTTAGGCTCAGTTTAAGGGTTCATTCCCAATCTTAAGAAGTTCTGGAAAGTTTGCAAATTGTCCTTCATGACCCGTTAATTGTTTCTAAATTTTGTTATAGTGCACTTTACAGAGAAATAAAGGAATCACATCTTAGAATTGTTTCTACCAAAAAGCCTCATATTTCCACAAGACTGTGACTATATGTGTATATGTATATGTGTGTATATATGTATATAACATATATACATATATAGTCTGTCTATCTATCCATCTGTCTGTCTATCTATCTATCTTTTGTAGCCCATCATCTCAGAGTCAGGCTGCTACATCTGCCTGTCAGTATTCTAGGGTACCCTGAGTGACTTGGAAGGTGTCCCTTCTCTATTGACTTTGTCTCAAGTCCTGGTATACTGGGTTCCCTCTTCATCCATTATTGTTAGCAGTGCAACAGCACATTCCCTGGCACGTAATAGGCACTTGATATTTTTTGATTACCTGTTTTGTGCTAGTGACTAGCCCCAGTTGCATTTAATCACTTAAGATAAATTAATTTTTAGAAAGGGAATTAATTTCAAAGATATAGCAAGAATAAAGTACAAACTTCTCCCTAATACACCAGGGATATATACTTTCTCCTGTACCACCTTGGTCTCCAGGTAAAGTAGGCTCACTGTTAACACAGTTATATACATATACATGTACATATATGAATTCACTCTCAACAAAGCACCACATTACTCTAGAAGGAGTCTTGTGAACAGGATGGAGAAATGTGTGCTACACAATAGCATATTTAGGTATATTCAAAACTCATTGAATGTCTGGAATGAAAGCATAGATATTAATTGTTTTGCCTCATTTGGGAAAAAAGCACCTAATGCAGTCCTCAAGGGAGCTCTGCTTGACCATGTGTCGTTCAAATTTTTTGTCAATAACCTGGATAAAATCCAAGAGGACATACTTACAAGGTTTGCACAAGACAGAAAATAGGGAGGGATACCTAGTGAACACATTGGATGACAGAATTAGTATTCAAAACAATCTTGGTATGCTAGAACATTGGATTGTATCTAACAAGATGCAATGTATTAGAAATAAATGTAAAATCTTACAATTGAGTTTAAAAGAATCCAACTCCCCAAGGATAAAATGCAGAGGGCATGACTGGACAGTAGTTTGTCTGGAAAAGGTCTAGGAGGTTTAAGTGCAGTGTCAGCTCCATAAGGATCAAGAATAGACTGTATCTACCAAAAGAAAATGGCCAGTTCAATTTTAGGCTCCACTAGTCTTGGTGTCCCAGACTGAGAAGATGATAGTCCCATTGTATTAATCAAACCATGACCATAGCAGTGTTGGGTCCTGAGCTCCTGAGGAAAGGCCTTGATAAGCAGGAATGTGTCTAGAGGGGGCAGCCAGTGAATGCTTTTGAGATCACACAGTGGAAGGGATCTATTGAAGGGAACTGGGGATGCTTAGCTTAGAAAATGATAAAGGTGAGAAAGGGATATGTCAGCTGTCTTCCCGTATCAGAAAGACTTTACCAGGGAAGAAGGGATTGATTTGTTCTGTGTGGCTCCAGAGGGCAGAATTAGAGGCAAGCCCCAGACTTGTCACCTTCCTTCCAGGAAAAGAGTTCCTAAGAGTTAGAGATCTCACAAAGTAGAAAGGTTGTCTCTGAAGAGGGTAGACTCCCCTTCAGTAGAAGCCTTCTTGTCACACAGTCGTTCTTTTCTTTTTTAATTAGGCAATTGGGGTCAAGTGACTTGCCCAAGGTCACACAGCTAGTTAAGTGCCAAGTGTTTGGTCTGAGGCTGGATTTGAACTCAGATCCTCCTGACTTCAGGGGTGGTGCTCTATCCACTGTGCCACCTAGCTGCCCCTCACTTGTCACATTGTAGAGGGGATTCTTCCCCAGCAAAATATTGGTCTAGAATAGACATTGTTAAAGAGAATGAATATTGAAATCTTTGAGTATACTTAGAATTGCCTGGGTTCTTTGATCTGTTCCTTTTTGCCCTCCCAATGAGAGGAGTGAGAAAGAGCTAGTGCCAGAGGGGTACCTAGGAATATCATTGTCATCATCACCATCATCATCATCATCATCATCATCATCATCACATTTATATAGTGCTTTCCAAAGGGCAGTTAGATTGCACAGTGGATACATGTAGCTCCAGGCCTGGAGTCAGGAAGACTCATCTTCCTCAGTTCAAATCTGGCCTCAGACACTTTCTAGCTGTATGACCCTGGGCAAGTCATTTAGCCCTGTTTGTCTCAGTTTCCTCATCTTTAAAATGAGCTGAAGAAGGAAATGGCAAACCACTCCAGTATCTCTGCCAAGAAAATCCTCAATGGGGCATGAAGAGTTAGTTAATTCTGAAAAACTACTGAACAAGAATGGATCTTCACTACAACCCTGGAGGTAGGTGCTATTTTTAACTCTTTTTTAGAGGATGAAACTGAGGCTGAATGTTTTTAAGGGATTTGTGCAGGATCATACAGCTAGTAAGTGTCTGAGGCAAAATTGAAACTCAGTGTTTCCTGTCTCCAAGTCTAGCTCTCTATCCACCTGCCACTTAAGTGTAAACAAACAAAAACCGTTAAAATATACAAAGTGCTTTACATACATTATTACATTTAAGCCTTGAAAACCTGGACAAATTATACAATTGAGAAATCTCCCTATCAATCTGCCACTGAGATTACCTATGGTATCACTGAGACAAACCTCCCATTTGTGTCATCTTGAGCACACGTTTCTCCTTTCTGTCTACCCCTGCTCTCTCTCCATGCAGTCTAGGATTCAATAGACCTGGTAAGAAGTTAGTAAGACAGGGCTAGATTGATCACACAAAGGAAGCCATGAACCTTGGTAGGAAGACACTAGAGCTGTATGTGTCCCTTTGAGGAATAAACACCAGGTATCCAGAGACCCTGGGCAGCTAGGCGGCAAAGTGGATAGAGTGCCGAGCCTAGAGTCAGAATGACTCATCTACCTGAGTTCAAATCTGACTTCAGACACTTGCTAGCTGTATGGCCCTGGGCAAGTCACTTAACCCTGTTTGCCCTAATTTACTCATTTGTAAAGTGATCAGGAGAAAGAAATAGGAAGCCACTCTAGTATCTTTTGCTAAGAAAACCCCAAATGGGGTCAGGAAGAGTTAGATACAACTGAAGACAACTCACCAATAACAGACTCAGAGACCCTACTGGGATGGGTGCCAGGTGACAACTGAAGTGATGGAGTGCTTCAGAAAAGGTAATTTTTTTTTTTTTTGCTTTTTGGTGAGACAATCAGGGTTAACTGATTTGCTCAGGGTCACACAGCTAAGAAAAGGTCTTCTTCATTATTATTTTTTTTTTTAGGCAATTGGGGTTAAGTGACTTGCCTAGGGTCACATAGCTAGTGTCAAGTGTTTGATCTGAGTCTGAATTTGAACTCAGGTCTTCCTGACTTCAGGGCCAGTGGTCTATCCATCACACCACCTAGCTGCCCCCCAAGGTCATTTCTAAAGGCAGGTTTCAGGACAGAAAGTTGGGAGGGATACTAAAGACCAAATTTTTCCACATACTGAGTCTACTAGTTGATTTCTCTCTTAGTAAAATTTTATCTGGTGCCTGTTCCGGCACAATATCACTACCTCTAATAGGGGCAGACTCTTCCTTTCTTTATTTTAGCTCTTTTTAACTCCCCACTTTCTCCCTAAGGCAGAATGTAGTTTAGTCGGAGGGTCTTGGATAGAAAAAATTTCCATTATCTTTGTGTGAGGCTGTGCAAGGCTTAAGAATCTTATACTAATCCCCCTATGGAAAGGAGGCTGAGATAACTGCTCGGTAATCTCCCAGAACTATTTCCTTGAATGGAGCCTTGGGGTAGGAATTCTCATTCTAATCTCTGGAGAATGGAAACCTTCCCAGAGGACAGGTTCTTCAAGGGTGTGGTGAAAAACAAATTCTCACTCTCTGGAATACTGACCTTCTACTTGGCCGGAAGAGAAGAAACTAAGGAGTGGATTAGAAACCACATCTCAGGAGCTGGAAGAGTCAGTCAGTCCACACAACAGTTGGATCAGGCCAAGAGCACTGACTGGAAAATGGGAACTGTCTGCCCTCTGTCCTCTTTGTAAACACTTTGGGGGACAGCGACGAAAAAAGGCCAGTTTATCAAGTGCTGCTCCCCAGAGCTGGCTCTGTAGATGATCATTACTACTTTTCAATATAGGGCCAGGGGTGGGGAACCTGGGGCCTCAAGGCCACATGTGGCCCTCTAGGTCCTCAAGTGTGGCCCTTTGACTGAATCCAAACTTCACAGAACAAATCCCCTTAATAAAAGGCTCTGTTCTGAAAAAGTTGGACTCAGTCAAAAGATCATACCCAAGGACCTAGAAGGCTATATGTGACATGGAGGCCCCAGGCTGCCTCCCTCCTCATCCCCCACCTCAGCATAGGCAATTTAATTTGATTCAACAAACATTTATTAAGGGTGTTCTATGTGCAAGACTGTGTTAGGCAGAGTCCTCTGAGTGTCCTCACGATTTCTAACAAAATCTTGGGGCAGCTAGGTGGTGCAGTGGATAGGGCATTGGCCCTGGTGTCGGGAGTATCTGAGTTCAAATCTGACCTCAGACACCAGCTGTGTGACCCTGGGCAAGTCACTTAACTCTGATTCCTTCTGAACAAACAATTCTAATGAAATCTTAAATCCAATCTTTAGCAGAAGTCCTCTTTTGGCTCCTCCCTTCCCTACACACACACACACACACACACACACACACACACACACACACACACACACACACACACACACAGCTACTGCTTTCTTTCTGAGATTAGCATCTATTTACAATATATACAAGTCCTAAGCTCCTAGAGGGCAGTAATACTGTTCTTGTCTTTCTTTGACTCCCCAGGGCCAGACACCAGAGCTTAATAGTTGCTTGTTGATTGACTGAATGCTAACCAAAGAATGCTGGGCTGAAATTTGGGATTGAGTGAGCTGTCAAGAAACAAAGATAATATACTCTGTATTGTTTGCTGTGTGATCTTTGCAAAGCACTTTCCTTTTCTGAGCTTCAGTTACCTTATTAGTAAAACTGAAAAGGGCTGGACTAGATGGTCTCTTAACCAACCCTAAAATTAAACCTGAGGTTTTCTGGCAAATCATAGATTTAAAGGGACCTTAGAAGTCATCTAGTCCAATCCTTTTGTTTTACAGATGAGGAAACTGAGGTGCTGAGAGAAGTGGACTGCCAGAGAGACCATCAGAGACATGTTTGGAACCTTCATATCCAGTGCCATTTTCCCTGTTCCACAGAAGGGATTTTGAAGGAACATGTTTTACTCATACATGCTTATGAGCTAACATGAAAGACAATGGCGAAGTTCAACTAGGTATTATGTGATTGTTCAGACTCCCCTGACAGTTGGTAAAAAGAACATTAAGTTTTGAGGGTGACAGTGAAGTTGGCCTTTGATGTCTTCACCCGATGATGAGTCATAGAGGATGGTGACTAGAAGAAGAACGTAAGGAACTAGGGCTTTAGAGAATTCATTTCTCTAGAAGTCATGAGGGAGGAGGACTGCATGTGGTCAGTTGAAGGCAAGAGAGAGTGAAATGGCAACGGAAGCTTCATTGTGGAAATTGTTACACCTGTCTGACTCATATCTAGATGGAAAATTCTGTGGAAAATGATGGCATAATTTGATTGCCTGGAGAAGTTCATCGGTATTATATGCCAGTTCCACAACAGCATGCTTGCCCAAATACTCTCATGCTTCCTAGTCATCAATGGAGCAAAGCAGGGCTGTGTGCTTGCTTCCATGCTATTTAGCATGATGTTTTCAGCAGCGTTGTCAGACACCTTCAACAAGGATGAAATGGCATCCAGGTCAACTACCACACTGATGATAAATTATTTAACTTGAAAAGGATACAAGCCAAGACTAAAATGGAGGGAGAATTAGTGCTTGCTTTTTTATTTGCAGGTAGATTGTGCACTCAATGTAGTCTCTGAGGCTGAGATGCAACAAAGTATGAATTGATTCTCCAGTGCTTGTGCTAATTTTGGCCTGACAATCAACACCAAAGAAACAGAGGTTCTCCACCAACCAGCACCACACCATCCATACATGGAACCATAGGTTACAGCAAATGGAGAAATCTTGAATGCTGTGCATAAGTTCAGTTACCTTGGCAGTATACTTTCCAGGGATGTACACATAGGGATGAAGTTGACACACACATTGCCAGAGCTAGCTTAGGGTTGGGAGGCTCCAAAGGAAAGTGTGGCAGAGAAGAGGTATTAGACTGCCTATCAGACTGAAGGTCTATGGAGCCCTTATGCTGACCTCATTGTTGTATGCCTGTGAAACCTGGACAGTATACCAGCGCCACACCAGAAAACTGAATTGCTTCCATTTGAATTGTCTTAGGAAGATTCTGAAGATCACCTGTCAAGGTAATCTGAGATCCTTTCTCTAGCTGAACTGCCAAGAATTCAAACTTTAGACGGGCTGGCCATATTGTTTAAATGCCAAACATATGGTTACCTAAAAGACTATTTTATGGAGAATTTCCATGAGGCTGGCACTCAGGTGGTGGTCAGAAAAAGCAATGCAAGGATACTTTCAAGGTCTCTCTAAAGAACTTTGGAAGCAATTGTAAGACATGGAAGACACTGGCCCAGTATGGCGTGCCTTCATCAAAGAAGTCTCTGTGCTCTATGAGCAAAGCAGAATTTCAGTAGGGCAGAAGAAATGTGAGATGCACAGATTTAGAGACATCTTCACTCCAAATGTTCATATAGACTATTTGTGCCCAACTTGTGGTAGAGCCTTCCGAGTTTGTCTGAGTTGGACACATGGTACAGGATTTGAACCTATGTTCTATAATTCCACAGCCATACTTGTTCCATCAATTTCTGCTTTGAAAATGCCTTGTTGCTGCTCCCCACTAGAAATAGTGACCCCTGGACTCCAGAATGACCTCCAGAGACCATCTCCCTCCTCTAGTACCACCCCCAGGAAATCCACCCAGCAACTAAGCTGTCAGGATAGGATTGTCCTATTGGAATGCAAGATCACTTATATATTTGTCCTTAATGCCTAGCATAGTACTTGAAACATGGACACTTAATATTAAATTATTAGTTCACTCATTGTTTCATTCATCCATCCATCCATTCATTCTTTGCTTCCTTCCTATGAAGAAAGGCATTTAGTGGTGTATGTTGGGTTACTCCAGCAGTAATTTGTATGTGATTTTTCAGAGCAGTAGACCATTCACTACAACTACTACTGCTACTATAATATTAACTAGCATTATATAGTGCTTTGAGGTTTGCAAGGCATTTTACATATGTTATTTCACTTGCTATAGTATATAGGGAGATTAGAATAGAAAGGAAGCCAGTCATGATGGTTAGAGGACTGGCCTTATAGTCAGAAAGACCTGGATACCTTTGTGGTATGGTAGGCTTACAGTCAGGAACAACTAACTTTAAATCTGACCTCAGACACTTACTAGCTGTGTAACCTTGGGCAAATTATTTAATTTCTGGCTGCCTCAGTTTCCTTAATTACAAAATGGGGATAATAAAAGCACCCATCTCCCAGAGTTGTTGGGTAAATCAAATGAGATAATATTTGTAAGGTATTTAGCAAATAATAGGAGCTTAATAAATGGTTATTTCCTTTTTCCCTCCTTTCCTTCTTCCTTCCTTCTTTTCTTCCTTCCCCCCTTATTCTCTCGCTTGCTTCCTCCCTCTTTTCCTTCCTCCCTCCCTCCTTTCCTTCCTTCCTTTTTTCTTCCTCCCTCTTTTCTGTCCTCCCTCCTTCCTTCCTTCTATCATTTCTCTCTCCTTTCCCCCCTCTCTTGCTTCCTTCCCTCCCTTCCCCTCCAAGCTATGTGACCATATACAAGACATGGAATCAGAAAGTCAAATCCTGGCTCTGACATTGAATTTTTTCTATGACCTTGAACAAGTCATTTAACTTCTCTGAGGCTCTGTTTCTCCAACTACAAACTAAAGATATTGAAGCAGCTGCTTGAAGATCATGTTGAACCAGCTGATGGTCAATTAAAGGAAGGAATCATGCTCACCCTGGAAAGAAGACTCAGGGGGACCATGAGAGCTGTGCTAAAGAATTGGGAGGGCTGTTCTATGGAGAAAGGATTGGATGGGTTCTATTTGGTCCTAGAAAGCAGAACAAGGAACAGTGGTTGGAACCAGTGTGAAAACTAAAGCCATCCAAAAGTGGAATGGGCTGCCTCATCATGGGTTCCCCCACCTAGGAGGTCTTCAGGTTAGATGACCATTTGTTGAGTATGTTAGAATAAGGATTCCTTGTGTATGGTTCAGCCTAGAGGGCCACTGAGATCCCTTTCAATTCTCAAATTCCATGATTCCAGGACCTCTAAGTTCCCTTCCAGTCCTAAGTCCAAGATCCTGGGAATTTCCTGATGAATCGTTCATCTAGATCCATAAAAGAATTTCCTACTTCCTCACACCACTGAAATCACAAGCATGGCTCATCCCCTCACGTCCCACTCTTCCCCAAAGACTAATTTTTAAAAAATCATTTTCCTGGGCTATTTTAATACAACTCACTGGAGCTATAGGGTAGAGTACAGGGCAAATTCCTGAAACCCTTCCCTCCATCCCTCCCCCCACCCCCAGTTTCCAGGAGTCAAAGGGTTATGAGCAGCTCCCAAAGCCTGTTTACACGGCAGTTAATCAATGAACCAGAATCAGTGAAACCATCCAAGTCAGGGGAAATGTCTTTAAAACATTCATTTCCCGGGGATCTGGAGGGGGAGGAGGTATTGTCAGGTCACTCCCAGCTATCAGTCATCCCAAATCTGAAGTGGGGGAGGGACTAAAAGGCAGGCCTGAGCTCCCCTCCTACCTTTAGTAGGGCTGAGGCTTCCTCTTGGAGAAGCTGGAGGAAACTCACTTGGGTGTCCTTGGGTTCTGACGAAGAGTCAGGGCTAGAGAATAAGGGGGTGCCTCCGAAGAAACAGGCCCAGGAATATGTCCGAAAGTGCTCTCAGCCCTCTTCCGGCTCCTGCTGCTGTTCAGTGGGGTGGCTTCTGTGACATTTCAACATCATCGTTATGATGATCTCATGCGGACCTTATATAAGGTACATAACGAGTGCCCCCACATCACCAGAGTTTACAGCATTGGACGCAGTGTCAAGGGAAGACATCTCTATGCCCTGGAATTCAGTGACTTCCCTGGAATGCACGAGCTCTGTGAGTACTGAACATTTATTGTGCATGGTACCAGTTGGGGGAGTTGGCTGGTGTGATTTCCAGGTCAGGAGCCTTGCCCAAAATAATACCTCTCTCCCACACATCACTAGGAGCTGAAATTCACTCAGGTACTCCACCCAGGCTCATAATCTAGACCTTTCCCTCCATGCTTTTGCTCATCAACATCTCTCTGTCCTGGTTTTATTTCCTCAGGGCCTAGCTAGTCTGATTCTACTCCAGTTTCTTTGACTTTGCTTAAAAACTTTAGCTGCACTCAGATGTCTTGAGGGGAAATAGTGATGGTGCTGGGTTTGGGGGAGGAGGGATAGTATGGGGGGGGAGATAACTCTTATAGACTCCTGAAAAAAATTGACTTTTTGATGCCTTCCCTATAAGTTTGAAAACTAAGGTTCTTTTCTCTGTACGGATGGACAAGCAGCCTTCAGTCACCCTGAGGTCAAGTAATGATCTAGAAGTCTAAAGGGACACACAAGCAATGCACCAGTATGGTATGGGAGCAAGGGTTAGTGATGATTGGGCAAGCAATCCCTATTCGGAGCGTCGAGCTCCTTGTTTGGGCCATAACTAAAAATGACTTCCGAACTCAATAGTCTCATACACAATCATTGAACTGGAAGTGGTTTCTAGAGATCATTGGCTCAGTGCCCTGATTTTAGATGTGTTATAGTTCATAATAGGAACAGGGGAACTTTTCTTTGTGGGAAGGCTAGTGTGGAGGTGGGGGTAACTAGTACAGGTAAAAATGATCCAAATACTGGGAAGAGAGATAGATAGAGAGGGAGAACTAGAGACTGGGCCAGGGAGTGGAAAATAAACAAGGTTGGGGGTGGGGAAGAGAGATGAAATTAAAAAGGAAGGGAAAGGAGAAAAGGATAAAGGAAGAAATGGCAGGTGGGGGGAAGGGGAGAAGAAAAGGGGAGTAGACAACCACAGATGCATGAAGATTTTATAGATCTAGCAAAGGAGTGCTTAGGTTTTATAGATATTGACTTTAGGATCTTAAACAGCACCATTTCAGGGACATCTAAATAGTTGGTGCAGTGGGATAGAGCACTGACACAGGAATCAGGAGGACCCAAGTTCAAAGGCAGCTTCAGACACTAGTTGTGTGATCTTGGGCAAGTAAATTAACCCTGATTATCCCCCCCCCAAAAAAAAATTCCAGAGGTGTCCCTCTGAGGCACATTTTCCAGCCCTCACTGGCAGAATGGCATAAAGTTCAAGACAGCAGCATAGAGAATAAAGTGCAAGGCATGGCCACTGAAATAGATACCTTCCAGTTCCAAGATTCTTCAGTTTTTGAATTCTCTAATTCAGTGAGCCAATCCCAACTTTAGGACTTCTAAGCCTATGACTATAGGCATGCTTGACCTTTCCAAGCCTCAGTTTTCTCATGTGTGAAACAGGAACAAAATACCTGTAGTGCCCACACCTCCTGGGGTTGTTCTGAAACTCTGATGAGATCGTTTATGTATTATTTACCTGTATAAAGATTCTGAAGTACTTAATCCAACTCCTGGTTCCAATGGGTCAGGTGCCTAGAGTTTAGCTTGGCTTTATATCTCCTTTCTCTGGGTTCAAAGAGAATGTAGGAACGGTCAGGTTAAGCCCTAGCTCTCTTCTACCCAACCGCCATTCCTCAGTGATGAGTGCCAGTTTCTTTTAACCAATTAACATCAATTAGCATTTACAAAGGGATAATTACTGAGAAAATACTGATCAAGAACTGAAGAACAAACCTCTCCCACCCTCTGCCTCTGTTAAATCCTGGTGTGAACTCTAGCTCCAGGACTTTCATGAGCTTTGCTATTTCTAATCTTCTGAACCGTATAAAGTCAGTCATTTCCTTGTGCTTATGGGTACAGGCATGTGGGGGAGGAGGAGGATGGGGTTGTAAAAGCCTGAGGCTCCTCTCTCCACCTGGAGGCTTAATGGCATTCCTCTACTGAACACTGCTCTGGAGGAAAGAAAAAATGCCCAGATGGTTAAGTTCCCTTTGAATATGGTCTGGCTCCACAGCAGATCAAAAAGGCTCCTCTTCTCCTTCTCTTGGTAAGTGGATTGAAAACAGTCAGAATACTTGAGCTTTCTCTGAATTGGGGAGCAAAGCAGTTTCATTACTCACCCCAGACTCTTTCTGTAGGCTGGCAACTAAGAGTGAGTCTCCATTGGCCATCCATCCATTACACATTCATTCAACTCTCACATCTATGTTGATTTTGTATATACACACCTTTTAACACCTTTCTACTTGGGCATCCTGCTATGTCTAACTCATTGTCTAAAATCAGACTCAGCATCTTCCTTTCCCCTCCCTTCCCCACAAAAAAAAAGCCAATTTGTTTAACAATAACACTTTTATTCCAGTCCTTTAGCCTTGAAACATTGGATCTAGCTTCTACGTCCCTTATTCTTTCATCTATTGTTTCAAATTCAACCTTTATTGCTCCTCCAGAATGCCCCTCCTATCCTCTTCATTCCTACTGCTACCACTCTAGTCCAATCCCCATTGTGTTATTTCCTAGTTTATATTATTCTTTCCACCAGTCCACCATTACCCGATTGATTGGGAGATTTGAAGATGGATGAGACCTTAGAGGTCAAATTGTCCTGTCCTCTCATATCTGATTACTCCCAGCCAGGCCTCAATTGCTTTAATTTCCTGCACACTTGCTGATGAACTAAGGTGGAGAAAATCACACAACCCTTCTGATTGGGTCCACTACAAAATTGTTGGGTTCTCACTGACACTAGGCAATCCTACTATGCCTCCTTTGTCAATCTCTCTGCCTGCAAGCATGCTCATGTCTCCTCTATCCTGAAAAAAGCTTCACTTGACCTTTGCATCCCATAATCCTATAGCTCTTCTTCCTTTTGTAGCTAAACTCCTTGAAAAGGCCATATATACTGGCTGTGTTACCCTGGGCAAGTCACTTAAATCCCAATTGTCTCAAAAAAAGAGAGAATGCCATCGATGATGGATAACTCTACTTTCTCTATTACTCTCTTTTTAACCCCTTTAATCTGGCTTCTGACTTCCTTATTTCACTTAAACTTCTCTCCTAAATTACTAATGATCTCTTATCTGCCAAATCTAATGGTCTTTTCTCAATCCACATTCTCCTTGACCTCTTTGCAGACTTTGATACTGTTAATCACCCACCCTCTCATCCTTGATACTCTCTTTTCTCTAGGTTTACAGGACACCACTCTCTCCTGGTTTTCCTCTTACCTATCTGACTGCTCCTTCTCTGTCTCCTTTGCTGGTTCCTCCAGATCATGCCCACTAAAACAGGTATCCTTCAGGGTTCTTTCCTGGGCCATTTTGTCTTTTTGAAACTCACATCTCCAACTGCCTCTCAGACATCTTGAACTGGATGTCCAGTAGACATCTTAAACTCAATATGTCTCAAACAGAGCTCATTATCTTTTCCCCAAACGCTCCTGCTCTTCCTACCTTCCCTATTACTATACTATCTTCCCAGGCCCCTCAGCCTCCCAACATAGGATACATCTTAGACTTTTTATTGTAACTCATCCCCATCTCCTCCACCCAATCTGTTCCCAAGGCCTCTCACTTTCACCTTTGCAACATCTCTTGAATATGCATCCTTCTCTCCTCTTGATACTGCTACCCTACTAGTTCAGGATTTTAATCACCCCATGCCTGAATTATATTGTAATAGCCTTTTGCTGAGTCTGCCTGCCTCAAGTCTCTCCCTACTCTGGTCCATCCTCCATTCAGCCACCAAAGTGAGTCTCCTAAAGTGAAGTTCCAACCATGCCACCCCTCTACTCAATAAATTCCAGTGGCTCCCTATCGCCTCTAGAAGCTGTGTTTGGCAATCAAAACCCTTCATAATCTATCCCCTTCCTACCTTTCCAGTCCTCTTACACCTTAATTTCTAACACATACCCTTCAGTTTAGTGACACTGGCCTCTGTCTGTATACTGCAGGCATTTTCTTTGGCTGTCGCCCATGCTTGGAACACTCACTCTCTCCTTTGGTCAGACTACTGACCTCCCTGGCTTCCTTAAAGTTCCAACCAAAATACCACTTCCTTCAAAAAGCCTTCCCCAACCCCTCTTAATTCTAATGCCTTCCCTCTGTTAATCATTTCTAGTGTGTTGGGCCAAGAGGAGATGAGAGGTTCTTGATCCAGAAGGCAGCTCTTAGATATTATAGTCTGCCTTATGATTTTACTAATACAACAGAGGCCAAGTGACTTACTCAAGGTCACAAAGGTATAGAGAAAAATGTAATGATCATTTCTTAAATACGAAGAAAAGTGAGTCAAATTTGTAAGGATACAAGTCATTTCCCAATTGATAAATGGTTACAGGATAAAAACAGGTAGTTTTCAGATGAAGAAATCAAAGCTATCTATACACATATGAAAAATGCTCTAAATCACTGAGAAACGCAAATTGAAACAACTCTGAGGTACACCTCACACCTATCAAATTGGTTAATATGATGAAAAAGGAAAGCTACAAATGTTGAAAGGAATATGGAAAAATTTGGACACTAATGCACTGTTGGTGGAGTTGTGAAGTGATCCAATCATTCTGGATAACAATTTGGAATTACACAAGAAAAGAGAAAAAGACCCATTTGTACAAAAATATTTATAGCTGTTGTTTTTGTGGGGGCAAAGAATTAGAATTTGTGGGGATGCCCATCAATTGGGGAATGGCTGAACAAATTGTGGTGTATGATTGTGATATAATACTTTTGTGCTATACGAAATGACAAGATGGTTTCAGAAAAACCTGGGAAGACATGAACTAATAACTGATGAAAAGTGAAGAGAGCAGAACCAGGAGAACATTGTTCACAGTAACAGCAATAGTGTATGATGAACTGTGAATGACTTAGCTATTCTCAGCAATAAGTGATCTAAGACAATTCCAAAAGACTTATGATGAGAAAAATTGTCCACCTCCAGAGAAAGAACTGATGGAGTCTGAGTGCAAAT